GAGCGAGCGAGCGAGCGAGAGCGAGCGAGAGAGCGAGCGAGCGAGCGAGCGAGCGAGCGAGCGAGGAGCGAGCGAGAGAGCGAGCGATCGATCTATCTATCTATCTAGCTATCTATCTATCTATCTATCGCTATCTATCTATCGTTCTATCTATCTATCTATCATATCTATCTATCTATCTATCTATCTATCTATCTATCTATCTATCTATCTATCTATCTATCTATCTATCTATCTATCTATCTATCTATCTATCATTCTTAAGTTACACCTAGATACTGAAGCCCCTGTCTTCATGCTAGAATTAATGAATGAGTTCATTGTGTAAAAAAATAAGAATGAACTCGTATGTACATAAAATTGTATAAAAATCTTTATTATTGTACAAGTATTGTACATACATAATTAAGTAAATTACATGGTACTTTATGACAATGACCTAATTTCCAAAAACGACAGTAGAATAATGTTGAAAAAGTAATGTTGACATATAATAAGTTTTTCATTTAAGACTCTTTAATCTTTAGAATCTCGTGGGTATTTTAATACTTCAAAGAACATGAATGACTTTAAATGTTAACTAAAAAAATGCGATTTAATTTGAATAAGTTCTTAACAAATTGTTTATGAGATTTTAATTTTTTTTAGTTAAAAGAAGATGTTTGTCATAAAAGTCAATGGCAGTTTATGACAAAATAATTTTATGGGTTTAATGTTGTTTTGGAAAAGTTTTTTGTGTTATGTAAGATGGAAGTTAAATAAAGAGTTTAAGAGTGTAATAAGTTGATTCTTTTATAAATTTTGTTTAAGAAATTTCACATTCAAATTTTTACTATCCTTTTGATATTTTTAACTTGATTATAAAAATATTTTCACACAATATCCTTTTCACAAATTTACTAAGTATATTCAAATCAATTTCAATTATAACTTACTTACACTTATCATTTATCTAAACTAATCTATCTTCTCGCTTGTTAACAACTCTTTTATAAAGTTTTTTTTCCAACATTTACAAGTTCTTCCTTAACAATTTCCGTTTTACGCTTAAGTTTTTTCCGTTGAAAACAAAATGTAAAAGTCCTTAATCATTCTGGTTGTTTAGAAATATACTAAATAAACGTATCAAAACGTGACTTAAACTATTCACTAATGATTATTTGCATATTTTGTTTAACTTTTCGATTTGTTTACTTGCTCCATTTGTTGTTTGAAAGAAGAAAAAAAACAAACAACAAATTGAAAAACACCTTAAGTGCGGTTGAGTAGCCAGTATCCCTACATGACTCACAGCCACTTGAAACAGTAGCAGCCACAATCAAATTCCAAAATGCTAAATTGTTTAGTGATTTTGTAAACACTTAAATGCCTTTTAAAACGCCTACTGAAATAAATGCTATTAAATGATTTTTTCCTTTTTGCTTCAAATAATAGATACATATACAGTTAGTGAAGGGAAAAAGTTAGTTACGAGGGTGACAACTTTGAATAAAAATCATCGATTAAGGACTGGTTTCGGAAGCTTTCACAAAGAATTCATCTACATATCTATCTATCTATCTATCTATCTATCTATCTATCTATCTATCTATCTATCTATCTATCTATCTATCTATCTATCTATCTATCTATCTATCTATCTATCTATCTATCTATCTATCTATTATCTATGTATCTATGTATCTATATATCTATATATCTATCTATCTATCTATCTATCTATCTATCTATCTATCTATCTATCTATCTATCTATCTATCTATCTATCTATCTATCTATCTATCTATCTATCTATCCATCTATCTATCTATCTATCTATCTATCTATCTATCTATCTATCTATCTATCTATCTATCTATCTATCTATCTATCTATCTATCTATCTATCTATCTATCTATCTATCTATCTATCTATATATCTATCTACCTATCTACCTATCTATCTATCTTTCTATCTATCTACCTATCTATCTATCTATCTATCTATCTATCTATCTATCTATCTATCTATCTATCTATCTATCTATCTATCTATCTATCTATCTATCTATCTATCTATCTATCTATCTATCTATCTATCTATCTATCTATCTATCTATCTATCTATCTATCTATCTATCTATCTATCTATCTATCTATCTATCTATCTATCTATCTATCTATCTATCTATCTATTCTATCTATCTATCTACCTATCTATCTATCTATCTATCTATCTATCTATCTATCTATCTATCTATCTATCTATCTACCTATCTATCTATCTATCTATCTATCTATCTATCTATCTATCTATCTATCTATCTATCTATCTATCTATCTATCTATCTATCTATCTATCTATATATCTATCTATCTATCTATCTATCTATCTATCTATCTATCTATCTATCTATCTATCTATCTATCTATCTATCTATCTATCTATCTATCTATCTATCTATCTATCTATCTATCTATCTATCTATCTATCTATCTATCTATCTATCTATCTATCTATCTATCTACCTATCTATCTATCTATCTATCTATCTATCTATCTATCTATCTATCTATCTATCTATCTATCTATCTATCTATCTATCTATCTATCTATCTATCTATCTATCTATCTATCTATCTATCTATCTATCTATCTATCTATCTATCTATAGTCATTCTTCACGAACTTAGTTACGGACAACATTTCCTTAGATTTTTCTAAATCCGCTACCACTTTGTCATCACTAACTGTACATTTCAAATAAAATATAAATCAAATTGCGACAATTAGTAGGTGACATGCAATATTAGACGGATTGAGAACAAGAAAACACAGACTTTGGAAAACAAACTTTTACCTTGTAAGGAAATTCCCATGTGACAGAAAATACGGATAATTAGGGACAATTTTATTTGTTTTTAAGTAGTTGGCACAAAAGTAAAATACACGTTAAAGGACAAGTACGTGTTTCTTTTTGACACCTGTAAACAATTTTCATGAACACAGCAAAAGTTTTCAAACTTATGAATTATTAATTATTACAAGTGTTTAGAAGCAAAAAAGATTAAATCGATTTTTCCCATAAGTAGAATATTTTAAAAGTATAGGCATTTTAAAGACAATTTTAATATTTCTTAAAAAATACAAAATTTTAAACAAAAAGTTTACAACCATTTATTAAAACAACAAATGTAATTTATTAATTTTCCTTTTCGTATTCTTTTTTTCTAATTGCAGTGAAACCGAACGTTATAAACGCGTTAAATGGCAAGATATACGTGTTGGTGATATTGTACATTTATCAAATAATGAAACAGTACCTGCAGACATACTGCTATTACGTACCAGTGACTCCCATGGGGTCTGTTATATTGACACTTGTGATTTAGATGGTGAAACAAATCTCAAACGAAGAGAGGTGAGTTTTTAATTTTGATTTTAAAATGCAGTAATTTTTTCAAAATGCATATAAAACGCAAAAAAAAAAAAAAAGAAATGTGTTTGTGATTTAAATGCTTCCCATTATTAAATGTCGTTGTCTCTGATATGTGTATCTAAACGTATGCTATTTTTCCTTAAGACTTTAATTAAGCGTTTAACTTAATTTTAATAATGTAACATTTAAAAAAAGGCTAAATAATAGTTTTGCAAATGTCACGACTACCATTTTGTGGAACAAAGGATTGAATATCGTTTAATTGAACTTGTTGAAGGTTAAGTATATAGTACTTTAATTGGTTATAGTATATTTTCTTTAAACTTGTAATTATATTTGTTAAATATTTAGGACTCTTGTTATAACTAATGAACTGTTCGAGTTTTATTTACAAAACCGATTATTCGACTTTGTTAGGACAACAACAAAATGTTTATTCTTTCAAATTTGTATCTAATGAATGAAAATAGAAAGGTTACAAGATCCATCAAGATCTTGATTTCTACTCAAATCAGTTAGCCAAAGAGAAGAATCAATTTAACCTCCGATAAGTCCGTCAAAACCCGCAAAAAGTTTTTACCTAGATTGTTTGTATTCCGTGGATGAGCTCGATGAATGTTTATCAAAGTAGCCTTATGGGCACGCAATTCAAGTTTGCGTTGAAGAACAACTTGCGAGTCATCTTCGTTTTGCTTTAAAGAAGGTCTGTTTTAGTTTTACGCCTCTCAGTTGTACGTTGAATAACGTTTCCAAATTATGCGTTGTCTGCATTAAACGCGTGCTTTCGTTTTACCTAAAAGTGAGGTTATGTTTTCAACTGGCGCTTGTAGAGTTTGTCTCGAACCAAGTGTTTGCACCAAGAAAGCAGTATGTCGACAAAACTCCCCTTTTGTTAGTTAATCACACTTTTTGACAGTTGGTGTCCCGAAATCCACTACATTCCCAGTTCGTTTCACCTTATCGTTATAAAGTGATGTGTATATCTTGACTATCGTTCTAGGTTCGATTTTCAAAACTTCGTGAGAATGGTGTGGTCCTTTGTGTGCTTTACGGCAAATGTTTCATTCCGTTTCTTATAGATAGCGAAGTCAATTTCCCTATACGTTTGGAATACCAATCTTTAATAACTTTATATAAAGTATGTCTTCCAGAAGGTTGCTATTTATCGGTCCATAGCGGAGATATGTTCAAAATTCTGATAAAACCCATAATTTTTCTAGAGTTTTTAATATATTTTTCGGAGGATATAAACAAATATCTTTCTTTTGATATACATATATAAGATATTTGAAAGACGTTTCAATTGCTATACAATATATTTAATAAATAGGGTAAATACGAATATCAGGGCACATTAGTTTCGGCTTGTATTAAGTAAAATTTTCTTAATAATTACTTATTAATTTTCCTTTACCAATTCTTAATTCAAGGTGGTGCGTGGTTTCACCGATAAACAAAATATATTTACACCCAGTAAATTTGTAAGTCGTGTAGAGGCAGATGCGCCTACAACAAAATTATATCGTTTTCATGGGGCCTTAATACATCCCTCGGGGGAAAGAGTACCAATATCAACAGAATGTTTACTATTAAGAGAAAGTAGACTTAAGGTGAGTAATGAACCAGAAATATTGTCAACATAGCAAGACTATCAAAAATATACGTCTAAAAGAAGAGTTGGAGTCCCTTTCATCTCTGACAAAAAAAAAAAAAAAAAAAACAAAACTTATTGTATATTTACTACCCTTATTAACAAATCTTAACTGCATTACTTATAACAATTTATTAAAGGTTTATAGAAAAAAAATTTGTCTAAGAAACCTTGTCAAAAGCCCTCTAAGCATTCTAAGTATACTCTTAACTATTTCTAGAATACCGATTTCATTGAGGGTATTGTAGTATATGCCGGACATGAAACAAAAGCTATGTTAAATAATAGTGGACCACGTTACAAACGTTCCCAGGTGGAACAACAAATGAACATTGATGTTATATGGTATGTCTAAAATAAAAAAAAAACGTTCCCAATAGACTTCCGATAATTATTTACAATTAACTTCAATTTATTTGTCCTATCCAGGTGTGTAATTATATTGTTAATATTATGTGTTGTTGGTGCTGTTGGTTGCAAAATGTGGCTTAGCTCTTTTGAGCAATTTCCTGTACCTTATCTACCCTTCGAAGTTGATCCCAGTTATGAGGGTCTTCTTATCTTCTGGACCTATATTATTATACTACAAGTTATGATACCACTCTCGTTGTATGTCACCATTGAGCTGTGTAAGATATTACAAGTTTTCCATATACACAATAATGTCGATCTCTTCGATCGTGATACGAATAAACAAACCGAATGTCGGGCTATGAACATTACCGAAGAGTTGGGACAAATTCAGCATATCTTTTCGGATAAAACCGGTACACTAACGGAAAATAAAATGTTATTTCGCCGTTGTGTAGTAAATGGCATTGATTATAATCATCCGCCTTCGGAGCTGGAAAAGGCGTATTCGAAACCGGGCTCACCGGCTCCTCCTCTGGTGGCGAATGCCACACTTGTTAGTGATATGGCGAATTTAAGTTCGTCGGGTATTTTCCTGTCGCAAAATTCGCAAAGAATTCAAGAGTTTTTAGTAGTTTTGGCGATTTGCAATACGGTGATAGTTAGTGCGGCGCCACATCGTGATCTTATGAATGCCAGTGGCATTATAGAGGTGCAGAGTAATAACACCTCTCTGGTGGGAGAGTCGTCGGTGAATTTGAAAGGTAAGTGAAGAAAAGTAATACTAAAGGAAATGAAGGAAGATTTTTCTAAATAGAAATGGGAATTATATTGAAAAGTCTATCTATCTATCTATCTATCTATCTATCTATCTATCTATCTATCTATCTATCTATCTATCTATCTATCTATCTATCTATCTATCTATCTATCTATTATATTGAAAAGTCTATCTATCTATCTATCTATCTATCTATCTATCTATCTATCTATCTATCTATCTATCTATCTATCTATCTATCTATCTATCTATCTATCTATCTATCTATCTATCTATCTATCTATCTATCTATCTATCTATCTATCTATCTATCTATCTATATCTATCTATCTATCTATCTATCTATCTATCTATCTATCTATCTATCTATCTATCTATCTATCTATCTATCTATCTATCTATCTATCTATCTATCTATCTATCTATCTATCTATCTATCTATCTATCTATCTATCTATCTATCTATCTATCTATCTATCTATCTATCTATCTATCTATCTATCTATCTATCTATCTATCTATCTATCTATCTATCTATCTATTATATTGAAAAGTCTATCTATCTATCTATTATATTGAAAAGTCTATCTATCTATCTATCTATCTATCTATCTATCTATCTATCTATCTATCTATCTATCTATCTATCTATCTATCTATCTATCTATCTATCTATCTATCTATCTATCTATCTATCTATCTATCTATCTATCTATCTATCTATCTATCTATCTATCTATCTATCTATCTATCTATCTATCTATCTATCTATCTATCTATCTATCTATCTATCTATCTATCTATCTATCTATATATATATATATATATATCTATCTATCTATCTATCTATCTATCTATCTATCTATCTATCTATCTATCTATCTATCTATCTATCTATCTATCTATCTATCTATCTATCTATCTATCTATCTATCTATCTATCTATCTATCTATCTATCTATCTATCTATCTATCTATCTATCTATCTATCTATCTATCTATCTATCTATCTATCTATCTATCTATCTATCTATCTATCTATCTATCTATCTATCTATCTATCTATCTATCTATCTATCTATCTATCTATCTATCTATCTATCTATCTATCTATCTATCTATCTATCTATCTATCTATCTATCTATCTATCTATCTATCTATCTATCTATCTATCTATCTATCTATCTATCTATCTATCTATCTATCTATCTATCTATCTATCTATCTATCTATCTATCTATCTATCTATCTATCTATCTATCTATCTATCTATCTATCTATCTATCTATCTATCTATCTATCTATCTATCTATCTATCTATCTATCTATCTATCTATCTATCTATCTATCTATCTATCTATCTATCTATCTATCTATCTATCTATCTATCTATCTATCTATCTATCTATCTATCTATCTATCTATCTATCTATCTATCTATCTATCTATCTATCTATCTATCTATCTATCTATCTTCTATCTATCTATCTATCTATCTATCTACCTATCTATCTATCTATCTACTATCTATCTAATCTATCTATCTATATCTACCTACCTACCTATCTATCTATCTATCTATCTATCTATCTATCTATCTATCTATCTATCTATCTATCTATCTATCGATCTATCTATCTATCTATCTATCTATCTATCTATCTATCTATCTATCTATCTATCTATCTACTATCTATCTATCTATCTATCTATCTATCTATCTATCTATCTATCTATCTATCTACCTATCTATCTATCTATCTATCTATCTATCTATCTATCTATCTATCTATCTATCTATCTATCTATCTATCTATCTATCTATCTATCTATCTATCTATCTATCTATCTATCTATCTATCTATCTATCTATCTATCTATCTATCTATCTATCTATCTATCTATCTATCTATCTATCTATCTATCTATCTATCTATCTATCTATCTATCTATCTATCTATCTATCTATCTATCTATCTTAAAAAAATGTTTAAACAAAAACCTTTGATTGTAGGTGTTAAACCCACAGCTGGTCAAAATGACTTAACCTCTTCGCCAGCGCCCTCACTGAGCAATAATAAATTGGCATCGGCCATACCAGCCGATCGTTATATACGCTTAGCTGAATCACGTTCCGTAACACCATCACCGCCACCTAATTTAGCATTTAACATTCCAACACAATCGCACATACCCTCACTGTCGCCCATAAGTAGTTCAGCCGAATCGACACCCACCTCAGAGTCACCGCCAATGAAATTGAAATCATTATCGCATGCCATCTCGCCCACAGGACGTGCTAAGGCGGCTATCAATTCAAAAATTAATAGTATTACAACATTTTTAAATGCCAAGACACAAAACAAACGACTGGCCAATAAATTACAGTAAGTTTTTCATCCTACTAGGGAAAAGAGAAATGATATTAAGTATTTTTATTGTTTAAATCTTACAGACAACAAAAAAATAATCCCACATATCAGACTCCAGATGGTCGTCCTTTATACGAAGCTGAAAGTCCCGATGAATTGGCTTTGGTTAATGCCGCCTATGGTTATGAATGTTGCCTTATCAACCGCAGTCCAAATCATATTTTGGTCAGTGTACCCAATAAGGGTTTAGTGGAGTATGAAGTTTTGAAAATCCTACCCTTCGATTCCAGCCGCAAATGTATGTCTATAGTGGTAAGACGTACGGGTACACAGGAGATAGTTTTATATACAAAAGGTGCTGATACTTCAATAATGCCCGTATTGGCACCCTGTTCCCCTAACTCACCCGAGGGACTGATACGTGAAAAAACGCAACAACAATTAGATCGTTATGCTCGCGATGGTTTACGTATTTTGGTAATGGCTAAGCGAAATCTAAATGCCGCCGAATATACCGACTGGTGGGCCAGACATCAGGAAATCGAAATGTCTATGGAGAATCGTGAACGGCGTTTGAGAGATTCTTTTGCCAAGTTGGAAAGTAATTTAACTTTATTGGGTGCGACGGGCATAGAAGATCGTTTGCAGGAAGGTGTTCCCGAGACCATACAATCTCTTATGGCGGCTGGTATATCAATATGGGTGCTAACGGGTGATAAACCCGAAACCGCTATAAATATTGCCTATTCAGCAAAGTTATTTACACAGCAAATGGAATTGATTAGGTGAGGAGAGAGGAGCACAAAGTTTTTTCTTAAAATAATATTTATATGGAAAATTTCAGATTAACTGCCCGTTCGAGAGATGCTGCCGAATCTGCCATTAATTTTTATTTAAACGAAATTGAAGCTGCCAAAGTAACATCATTTGAAGGTAGTCCTCGACTTAAACCACGAGCTCTAGTGGTGGATGGTAAAACTTTAACTTTCATATTGGATTTAAGGTAAAATATTTAATTTGGAATTAATGGAAAATTCGATCTGATTGAATCTTATTTCAGATCAAAACTGATACGTCCTTTTTTAAAATTGGCCAAAGGCTGTGCTTCTGTGCTGTGTTGTCGTTCCACCCCCTTGCAAAAAGCTTATTTGGTTAAAATAGTCAAAGAGGAGTTACGTTTGTGTACATTAGCCATTGGTGATGGTGCCAATGATGTTTCAATGATACAGGTAAAGTATTCCTTTGTTTTGGATCTTATTTACATAATTTCAATAATTTTCTTTAAAGATGGCCGATGTGGGCGTTGGCATATCTGGCCAAGAGGGTACACAAGCTGTAATGGCGGCCGATTTTACGGTGGCACGTTTCCGTTATCTGGAACGTTTGCTTATAACACACGGCTATTGGTGTTATGATCGTTTATCTCGTATGATTTTATATTTCTTTTATAAAAATGCTGTAAGTTGAAAATTTTTATTTTAAGCGATTTTTAATAAAATACCAATTATTATTTTCTTTTAGGCCTTTGTTTTCTTAATATTTTGGTATCAACTGTATTGTGGTTTCTCTGGTTCCGTAATGATGGATCAAATGTATTTAATGTTATATAATTTAATATTTACCTCGCTGCCTCCTTTAGCCATTGGTGTCTACGATAAACGTGTGCCAGAGGATTTACTATTGAAAAATCCTTATCTATATAAAAATGTAAGTTGTTGTTTTTACCTTAAATAGGGAATTATCGGGTTTTAATATAATTTCTAAATTTCTAGGGTCGTTTGGGTTTAGCTTATAAACCACATGATTTCTGGATTATACTATTAGATTCCCTGTACCAAAGTCTGGTGGTATTTTTTATAGCTTTATGTGCCTATGCTGGTTCAGAAGTTGGTATATGGGAATTTGGTGCCACCATAACGGCTTCCTGTTTATTTACGAATTTATTACATGGTGTTATAGAAATACGTTCTTGGGTAAGTTTTACTTTTCTTTCTATTTGCTTAAATTCTAATTTAATTTCTTATCATTATACTCCTTGCAGACAATACTACATGTGCTTTCTATGGTTTTAAGTTTGGGTTCATTTTATTTATTTTCAATTGTTTACAATTCCATGTGCGTCAATTGTTTTGGCCTTCCTTCGAGTTATTGGGTGATATTTCGTTGTTTTGCTTCCGCCGTACATTGGTTGGTGATTGTTTTATCTGCGGTCGTAGCCATTTTACCACGGTAAGTGCAGCTGCTTAACCCCAACATTCCCTACTCTTTTGTATATCCTTGAACTTTATTTTTTTTTTTAAATTCTTGTTTATCAAATATTTATTATGTTTTCATTGCAGTTTGCTATTTACTGTCTTAAAAACAACCATATTTCCAGATGACAGCACAAAAGTTTTATTGAATAGTAAGCGAGAACGCAGTAGAGGTGAGGGTTTATTAGTTACTTGGTCAAGGTCAACATCTGCTTCATCAATTTATAGGTAAAGGACACACAACTAAACTTCAAAGTAAAGGATTTTTTCTCACATACAAACTTCTCCTTCTCTCTCTCTATTATTACCCTTTTGTTCATGCAATGTTTTTTTGTTTTTTCTATTATACAAAAATACTTTGTAGCCCATATTTTAGATGATGTTTGAGTTGTTTTGTTTTTTATCCTTTAGTACCTATGTATGTGTATTTTGTTGTTTAAATATAAAATTTAAAAATAAATTTTAGTTTGTTGTTTGTTATTGAAAAACTTTTTAAATTTAGTTTGTACCTTTTTTTTAATAATTTTTATTAAAAACTATCGCCTTTTCAATTAATTATTAGTTGTGTGTGTTTTTGCATTTAATTTTTATTTATTTATATTAATTGTTGTAGCAGCATGTTTACCTTTAATAATATTTTTAATTTATTTTTTATTATTCCTTGATCTTCCCGTATTTTGAATATCACTTAATCTTACTTTAATAAATTTCGATAAGACACTTTTCTATATGAAAACTCTTTTCTATATAAAAACTGTTTAACTAGACACTTTTCTATATGGAAGCTGTCTTAACAAGACACTTTTCTGTATGAAAGCTGTCTTAACAAGACACTTTTCTATATGAAAACTGTCTTAACAAGACACTTTTCTATATGAAAATTGTCTTAACAAGACACTTAACAAGAAACTGTCTTAACAAGACACTTTTCTATATGAAAACTGTCTTAACAAGACACTTTTCTATATGGAAGCTGTCTTAACAAGACACTTTTCTATATGAAAACTGTCTTAACAAGACACTTTTCTATATGAATACTGTCTTAACAAGACACTTTTCTATATGAAAACTGTCTTAACAAGACACTTTTCTATATGAAAACTGTCTTGACAAGACACTTTTCTATATGAAAACTGTCTTGACAAGACACTTTTCTATATGAAAACTGTCTTGACGAGACACTTTTCTATATGAAAACTGTCTTGACAAGACACTTTTCTATATGATAACTGTCTTGGCAAGACACTTTTCTATATGAAAACTGTCTTGACAAGACACTTTTCTATATGAAAACTGTCTTGACGAGACACTTTTCTATATGAAATCTGTCTTGACAAGACACTTTTCTATATGAAAACTGTCTTAACAAGACACTTTTCTATATGAAAACTGTCTTAACAAGACACTTTTCTATATGAAAACTGTCTTAACAAGACACTTTTCTATATGAAAACTGTCTTAACAAGACACTTTTCTATATGAAAACTGTCTTAACAAAACACTTTTCTATACGAAAACTGTCTTAAAAAGACAGTTTTCTATATGAAAACTGTCTTAAGAAGACACTTTTCTATATGAAAACTGTCTTAACAAGACTATTTTCTATATGAAAATTGTCTCAACAAGAGACTTTTCTATATGAAAACAGTCTTGACAAGAAACTTGTCTTATGAAAACTATCTCGACAAGACGCTTTTCTATATGTAAACTGTCTCAATAAGACACTTTTTATATGAAAACTTTCTTACAAAACTCTTTTCTATATAAAAAATGTGTTAACAGGACAGGACACTGTATTGACAAGACACTTTTCTATGTCTTTACAAGACAATTTTCTATATGAAAACAAGACACTTTTCTATATGAAAACTGTCTTAACAAGACACTTTTCTATATGAAAACTGTCTTAACAAGACACTTTTCTATATGAAAACTGTCTTAACAAGACACTTTTCTATATGAAAACTGTCTTAACAAGACACTTTTCTATATGAAAACTGTCTTAACAAGACACTTTTCTATACGAAAACTGTCTTAACAAGACACTTTTCTATATGAAAACTGTCTCAACAAGAGACTTTTCTATATGAAATCTGTCTAACAAGACACTTTTCTATATGAAAACTGTCTCACTGTCTTAAGAAGACACTTCTCTATATGAAAACTGTCTTAACAAGACACTTTTCTATATGAAAACTGTTTTAGCAAGACACTTTTCTATATGAAAACTGTCTTAACAAGACACTTTTCTATATGAAAACTGTCTCAACAAGAGACTTTTCTATATGAAAACTGTCTCAACAAGACACTTTCTATATGAAAACTGTCTTAACAAAACACTTTTCTATACGAAAACTGTCTTAACAAGACACTTTTCTATATGAAAACTGTCTTAACAAGACACTTTTCTATATGAAAACTGTCTTAACAAGACACTTTTCTATATGAAAACTGTCTTAACAAGACACTTTTCTATATGAAAACTGTCTTAACAAGACACTTTTCTATATGAAAACTGTCTTAACAAGACACTTTTCTATATGAAAACTGTCTTAACAAGACACTTTGCTATATGAAAACAGTCTTTACAAGACACTTTTCTATATAAAAACTGTCTTAACAACACACTTTTCTATATGAAGACTGTCTTAACAAGACACTTTTCTCTATGAAAACTGTCTTAACAAGACACTTTTCTATATGAAAACTGTCTTAACAAGACACTTTTCTATATGAAAACTGTCTTAACAAGACACTTTTCTATATGAAAACTGTCTTAACAAGACACTTTTCTATATGAAAACTGTCTTGACAAGACACTTTTCTATATGAAAACTGTCTTGACAAGACACTTTTCTATATGAAAACAGTCTTGACAAGACACTTTTCTATATAAAAACTGTCTTAACAACACACTTTTCTATATGAAGACTGTCTTAACAAGACACTTTTCTCTATGAAAACTGTCTTAACAAGACACTTTTCTATATGAAAGCTGTCTTAACAAGACACTTTTCTATATGAAAACTGTCTTTACAAGACACTTTTCTATATGAAAACTGTCTTAACAAGACACTTTTCTATATGAAAACTGTCTTAACAAGACACTTTTCTATATGAAAACTGTCTTGACAAGACACTTTTCTATATGAAAACTGTCTTAACAAGACACTTTTCTATATGAAAACTGTCTTAACAAGACACTTTTCTATATGAAAACTGTCTTAACAAGACACTTTTCTATATGAAAACTGTCTTAACTAGACACTTTTATATATGAAAACTGTCTCAACAAGACACTTTTCTATATGAAAACTGTCTTAACAAGACACTTTTCTATATGAAAACTGTCTTAACAAGGCACTTTTCTATATGAAAACTGTCTTAACTAGACACTTTTCTATATGAAAACTGTCTTAACAAGAGACTTTTCTATATGAAAACTGTCTTAACAAGACACTTTTCTATATGAAAACTGTCTTAACTAGACACTTTTCTATATGAAAACTGTCTTAACAAGAGACTTTTCTATATGAAAACTGTCTTAACAAGACACTTTTCTATATGAAAACTGTCTTAACAAGACACTTTTCTATATGAAAACTGTCTTAACAAGGCACTTTTCTATATGAAAACTGTCTTAACTAGACACTTTTCTATATGAAAACTGTCTTAACAAGAGACTTTTCTATATGAAAACTGTCTTAACAAGACACTTTTCTATATGAAAACTGTCTTAACAAGACACTTTTCTATATGAAAACTGTCTTAACAAGACACTTTTCTATATGAAAACTGTCTTAACAAGACACTTTGCTATATGAAAACTGTCTTAACAAGACACTTTGCTATATGAAAACTGTCTTAACAAGACACTTTGCTATATGAAAACTGTCTTAACAAGACACTTTTCTATATGAAAACTGTCTTAACAAGACACTTTTCTATATGAAAACTGCCTTAACGTGACAATTTTCTATATGAAAACTGTTTTGACAATACATTATTCTATATGAAACACTTTTCTACGTGAAAACTTTCTTGACAAGACACTATACTATATGATAACTGTCTTGGCAATACACTTTTCTATATGAAAACTGTCTCAACAAGAGACTTTTCTATATGAAAACCGTCTAACAAGACACTTTTCTATATGAAAACTGTCTCAACAAGACACTTATCTATATGAAAACTGTCTCAACAAGACACTTTTCTATATGAAAAATTTCTTAACAAGACTCTTTTCTATATGAAAACTATCTCAACAAGACATTTTTCTATATGAAAACATTCTTAACAAAATTCTTTTCTATATAAAAAATGTCTTAACAGGACAAGACACTGTGTTGACAAGACACTTTTCTATGTCTTTACAAGACAATTTTCTATATGAAAACTGTCTTAACAAGACACTTTTCTAAATGAAAACTGTCTGAACAAGACACTTTTCTATATGAAAAATGTCTCAACGAGACACTTTTCTATATGAAAACATTCTTAACAAGTCACTTTTCTACATAAAAACTTTCTTAACAAGACACTTTTCTATGTGAAAACTGACTTAACAAGACACTTTTCTATATGAAAACTGTCTGAACAACTTTTCTATATGAAAACTGTCTCAACAAGACACTTTTATATATGAAAACTTTCTTAACATTACACTTTTCTATATGAAAACTGTCTTAACAAGCATTCCTTGCTTTCCTTCTTTTCTAAAAAGGAACATTTTGAAAATTTTCGATCAAATTCAATGATTTTTCTGCGGTAATAAGGATAATAAATAATTCTTCATCGATTTATTACAATATTTAAATAAACATTCACAAATAAGATCATATTTTTGGGAATTAAAACGTCATGTTTAATCATGATTTAATGTAATTATTTTATTTTACAGAATCACCGATTATGGGTCTAAGAATCAGATTATAACATCAATTACCTGATTATTACTTAAGATCTTATAAATTAAATTGTAATTAACTCAATGTAATGTTTGTATTGTAATGTAATGTAATTTAATATTTTTAAAATTAAGTTCTACAAATTATACCAACGATTTTCTTTATTTTATATATATATAATTATAATCTAATTTGTTAAAGTTTTTTTAATTTTAATTTAAAGAAGTGAATGAAGAAAATAAAAAAAAAACAATATTATTAGTAAATTAAAATCCTGCCTTACGCTTATATAGTATATATTTATAAATATATATAATTATATTTACATATATACAAATATGCTTAAATATGTACTAAAACTTAATTGCATATAACAATAATGTATTTTAAACATGATTTTGCTAATAACAACTGAAAATTTATTTATAATTAATGTATGTAAATACCATTTATATTTAATTCTTTATATTTAAGTCTTAATATTTAAGAAGAAATTAAAATAGAAAATATCCAATCGAGATGATGTAAAAATTATGTTATAATTTATGTTTGTTATATTTTACTATTGTATTTTTTTATAATTTTCTATTATTTCTCTAAAGTGTACTTACAGTAAATGAAAGGGGGGAATTTACAAATATAAAGAAATGGTTTAAATTTGAAAATTCTGGTCAATTTAAAACTAAAATTTTTAAAATGAAAATCATATGACAGAGAAGAAAGTTCTACCAGTAATTTATTACTTTTAAACAATATTTTAATTGTTAAAATTCCTGAAAAATTAGCGTTTATTATATATTAATTTGCTCAGTTTTTTAGCAGTTTTATAATTTTAATAAAATCATAGTTAATTAAACTTTTGTCAATTATCAGTTAACAAATTTGCAATATTTGAAAGAAAATTTGTTTTCAAAGATAAATATGAATTAAAAAAAGCTTTAAATAAATATAATTATAATCACTTTCCCAGAGAAACATGAATTAAAACAAATGGAGTTTTCTTTCCTGACATAAAATCTTTACAAGATCAATTCATTGGTACTTGAACGAAATTGTATTAAGAAACTCTCTTGACAAGACACTTTTCTATATGAAAGCTGCCCCAACAAGACACTTATCTATATAAAAACTGTCTTAGCAAGACACATATCTACATGAAAACTGTCTTACCAAGACACTTTTCTATATGAAAACTGTGTTGACAAGACACTTTTCTATATGAAAACTGTCTTGACAAGACACTTTTCTATATGAAAACTGTGTTGACAAGACACTTTTCTATATGAAAACTGTCTTGACAAGACACTTTTCTATATGAAAACTGTCCTTACAAGACACTTTTCTATATGAAAACTGTCCTTACAAGACACTTTTCTATATGAAAACTGTCTTTACAAGACACTTTTCTATATGAAAACTGTCTTAACAAGACACTTTTCTATATGAAAACTGTCTTAACAAGACACTTTTCTATATGAAAACTGTCTTAACAAGACACTTTTCTATATGAAAACTGTCTTAACAATACACTTCTCTATATGAAAACTGTCTCAACAAGACACTTTTCTATATGAAAACTGTCTTAACAAGACACTTTTCTATATGAAAACTGTCTTAACAAGACACTTTTCTATATGAAAACTGTCTTAACAAGACACTTTTCTATATGAAAACTGTATTGACTTTTCTATATGAAAACTGTCTTAACAAGATACTTTTCTATATAAAAACTGTCTTAAAAATGCCCTTTTTTATATGAAAATTGTCTTGACAAGACACTTTTCTATATGAAAACTGTCTTGACAAGACACTTTTCTATATGAAAACTGTCTTGACAAGACACTTTTCTATATGAAAACTGTCTTGACAAGACACTTTTCTATATGAAAACTGTCTTGACAAGACACTTTTCTATATGAAAACTGTCTTGACAAGACACTTTTCTATATGAAAACTGTCTTACTTTTCTATATGAAAACTGTCTTGACAAGACACTTTTCTATATGAAAACTGTCTTGACAAAACACTTTTCTATATAACAATTGTTTTGACAAGACACTTTTCTATATGAAAACTGTCTTGACAAGACACTTTTCTATATGACAACTGTCTTGACAAGACACTTTTCTATATGAAAACTGTCTTGACAAGACACTTTTCTATATGAAAACTGTCTTGACAAGACACTTTTCTATATGAAAACTGTCTTGACAAAACACTTTTCTATATGACAACTGTCTTGACAAGACACTTTTCTATATGAAAACTGTCTTAACAAGACACTCTTCTTTTCTATGTGAAAACTGTCTTACCAATACACTGTTCTATATAAAAACTCTCTTAACAAGATACTTTTTTATATGAAAACTGTCTTAACGAGATACTTTTCTATATGAAAACTGCCTTAACAAGACAGATTTCTATATGAAAACTATCTTAACAAGATACTTTTATATATGAAAACTGTCTAGACAATACACTTTTCAATATAAAAACTTTCTTTACAAGATACTTTTCTATATGAAAACTGCCTTAACAAGACAGTTTTCTATATGAAAACTATCTTAACAAGATACTTTTCTTTATGAAAAGTAATTGTACAAAGCCCCGTTAGCATCCCTAACAGAATCATTAGACAGCTTCTATCAGTCTTTCAAATTAAGTGTTTGGTCATAACGTCTTTAATATTTTGCAATCCATTCTACTATTCCATAGCTAGCTGATGATGTCACAGATTCTCTCGAACAACAACCTATAATAGTGACAAATGATCTAGCTAGTTCGTTCGCAACATCATTATGACGTGCCAATGCTATAACTATTGACATAAATTGTCACAACCGACCCTAGATCGATATGATTCCGTATGAGTTCCATTGCATTCTATATCGCTAGGATCTCTGTTTAAAAGACACTACATTCGTCAGGGGATCTGAAGGATATAGCTTTCTAGCTACAAGGCTAACCATTTATTTTGGCAAACAAATTTCAAACGCGTTGTGTTGAAGAAGATCTAAATCCTGCTAAAATTGCATTTACGGTGAATGGATAACGTTGCCAAGAGATGTTGATCGTTGACCTTTATAATGTAATGGTTAGCATATGGTTTCAACATGATGGTATCACATTTCACTCAATTGGTCGCCCTTATTATCACACGTTTTAAAAGCAAAAGTATACTTCTCTAAGGTATTAAACTGCTCGGAACCTGAATCTGTCCTAAATTAAAAGAAAAACATGTTTGGTCATATTTGAGACGTTATTTATAATGTTCGCCGTATGAAAGTCCAATTTTTCGAAATAAAGGTCTGACCTTAGTTATATGTTCTCCCTGATTCAAGTTATCAAAAGCTTCAAGTGACTATATCTCAGCAAGTACAAAAACAGGCTTCAATTTTCATGATACGATATCTCAAAAACTTGATGTGATGGAGAAAGCCTATACTCGGTTTCAGTGTAGCTCAAAATTAGAAAAGTATTTTTTTGGGTTAAACATTTATTGGTTTGTATAATTTTTGTGGAAATATCTTGAAGACAGAGTTCATGTAGTTCTAATGGAATCGGTTACAAATTTTGATTAAAAAGTCGACATCTTTATGTTATTGAAACAAACAAATTGTCATTTTGTATTCTCTTTTGATTGGGTCTAAGTTCGGATTCTAATTTAAATGTTTATTGCAAATTTTGTTAACTGAGTTGTATGTTACTGTTCTTATATCAAACTACAAATTTTTTAAAATTTTTCTGAAATCAAAATTATTAATTTAAACCTAAAATATTACATTGACTGATATGCTAATGCTCTGATAAATGACTATATGTTCTCTACTATAATTGATTCAATATTTTATATATTAAACAACAACAATTGCCATGACATTTGTATTATCTAGAGAAAATAACAAACAAACTTTTATAAGAGAAAATCTTTTTAATTTCACTAAACAAAAAATCACAAAAAATAAAACAAGCAAATTCCTACAAAACAATAAATTAATTTTTAATTAAAAATAATTATTAGTTTTTAAATATTAAATAAACAAGTAGTTATATAAAGAAACCAAGAAAAATTTTAATTTGTTTTGTAAAAAAAAATGTTTAGAACATCTTATGGTTTTGAAACAATAAGAAATTTTAAGCAAATTATTATAATAAACTAGAAGAAATAACAATAGAAAAATGTATTGTTATTTATTTAAATAAAATTAGTAAACGGCTGTGATTGTACACTCATTTTTATTAAAACAAAATCAACAACAATAAAAGAAATATTAAAAGAAAATTGTTCACAACAAGAAAACATAATTGGAAATTTGATTAAAAACTTATTATGGATTTTTAAAAATAACCAATTCTTGAAATATTTTAAAAATAGAAAATAAAAATGAAAATCAAAGAAGAATTTAAACACAAATTTAGTTAAACTTAACAGGCAAACTAAACAGAATTAAAAATTGCATATTTTGCTTTGTTGACATTTGACCTAGAGTGTAAACTAGAATGTAAACTAAACTGAGACGTTTATAATTCGGTCTGGTATTATGATTAGTGGGGAAAGGTTTTTAAGTAGAATTATAATATACAAATGATTAAGTTCTTTTTCAAAATTGAAATTATTGTTTAAATTTCAAAATAAAATCACTAAAAATAAAACTTTACTTATTTTAAGTTAAATTTTAAATAAATTACTATAATTGTTTTATTAAACTCTATTAAATAAATATTTGTTTGTTAAATATTAAACTAAATTTAGTAATTATTTAGTAAAAATTTAAAAAAATTATTTAATTTGTAAAAAAACTTCCGTTTCTTTGTTATTTAAGTTTTTTTTCCTTTAGTCTAAATAATGTAAATTGTATTAAGTTTTATTTTTGTATTTTTAAATTAATTTTCTAATGTATTTAACCTCACTTGTAATATATAATTTTTCTACAAAAAACACACACATTCATTATTAAACTTAATTAATTAAAAATAAAATAAAAACAAAACATTAATAGTTTTCCTAATAGTAAATTATATTTAAATAATAATAGAGAAATAAATAAATAATAAATTCAACGCAACATATATTCTAAAAAAAAAAAATATATAATTTAGTTGTAGTGCAAATAATTGAAAATGTAGTTGATACAATATTAAAGTAAAGAAAAAAAAAAAAACAAATTGTTAAACATGAACAGAAAACAAAATTTGAAATAAAATTAAATAAATGTATTTTTACTAAACAAATTTAAACAAAAATTGTGTACATTTTACTTCTACAAAAAAGGCACGGAAAATTGAAATTTTAAAATATTGCTAACTTATAAGAAAAATATTAAACTATAAACTATCCAATAGACAAGACTAAAGACTAGAATATATGTAGACTAGACGATAAACTAGACTATAGACTAGACTATAGACTAAACTAAAGACCAGACTATACTCTAGATTATAGATTAGATTATGGAATAGATTATATACTACACCATACTATAGACTAGATTATAGGGTAGAATATAGACTAAACTAAAGACTAAATTATAGACAATAATACAGACTAGACTGCAGACTAGATTACAGACTAGACTATAGACAGGCTAGACTATAGACCAACTAGACTATACTATAGACTAGATTATAGACTAGACTATAGACTAGACTATAGACTAGACTACAGACTAGACTATACACTAGACTATAGACTAGACTATACACTAGACTATACACTAGACTATAGACTAGACTAGACTATAGACTAGAATATAGACTATACTATAGACTAGACTATAGACTATACTATAGACTAGACTATAGACTATACTATAGACTAGACTACAGACCAGTATATAGACTAAACTAAAGACCAGACTATAGGCAAGACTATAGACTAGATTTTGGAATAGACTATAACTACACTATACTATAGACTAGACTATAAACCTGTATAGATTAGACTATAGGCCTATATAGAGTAAACTATAGACTAAACTATAGACTAGACTATAGACTAAACTATAGGCTAGACTATAGGCTAGACTATAGACTAAACTATAGACTAGACTATAGACTAGTCTATAGTTTAGTCTATAGTCTGGTCTATAGTCTAGTCTATAGTCTAGTCTATAGCCTAGTCTATAGTCTAGTCTATAGTCTAGTCTATAGTCTAGTCTATAGTCTAGTCTATAGTCTAGTCAATAGTCTAGTCTATAGTCTAGTCTATAGTCTAGTCTATAGTCTAGTCTATAGTCTAGTCTATAGTCT